TACAATTGGATAACATTTGTAAATACTCCTGATTTTGCTCAGAATGTGTGTGACAACCAACTTAAGAATGTCAGCCAGCAAAGAACAATACAGCACAGGAAGCTGCCCTTTGGCCCTCCAATCCTGCGCTGACACATTTTGCCCTCCATACTAAAACTGTCCTTGCTTACAGGATCCATATCCCTCTATTCACTTCCTATTCATATTTTCATCTAGGTGCTTCTTGAATGCTGCTATTATCTCTGATTCCACCACATGCAGACTTTCTGGAGAGAAAAAAAAATCACAAATGACATATCGGAATTTGACAACCACGGAGCTAAAGCATCTTTCTCCAGACCTTCTTTGCAAAGGCATATACCAGAAGGAGGTGTGTGAATCTGTTCCCACAACTGCTTTTTGGGCAGTGGGCAGTGTGCAGTAGCGGAGAGAGTCCGGGCATACGTGAAGGATCTGATGGGTAGTATCCTTCTCAACACCAGCCAAACGACATCTTGGTGCTTGTTGGAAAGTTCTGGTGATGGGGCATTGACAGTCTGCTCAGGGAACAACCTGTAATGATCCACTCTCTCGTATTCCTGCAAGGTCTCGAAGATGCTATGTGCCGACCAGTTCCGGATGGACTTTTGGTCAAAGGTGTTTTTCTTTGCAAATTTCTCCATGAAGGACAAGTGTTACAGAACAGTCCAACTATTTGGAGCGTTCTGCAGTGCCAAGGCCAGGCCCAGCCTTTGTAACATCAGAGACAGGTAGAATCTCAGTACATTGTGACACTTGTTATTTGCGTAACAAAAGTCTATGCACAGCTTGATGCAGCCACGCACAAAGATGGCCATCAGGATGAGGGCGGCATTGGGTATGTTCTTCCCCCTCCCCCTTATCAAGACAGGATCCGAGCAGAAAACAACGACATCATCCATGTAATTTGACCTACAGGCCTCTGCTGCCTGGAATAGTCACCCCTCTCAGGCTCACATCCTTCCTGATGGAATCAGCAAAAGGTTCTATACAGCACACAAACAAGGCAGGAGAGAGTGGGCAGCCCTGCCTGAGTCCAAATCTGATCAGGAAGGTTTCTGATTCCCACTCTTTGATTGAAACTGCACTAATGATGTTGGTGTAGAACATTTGGATCCAATTGTGAATTCCCTCCCAAGCCCGTTTTGGACAGCATATCCCATCATCCTCCGCGTGCGCGCGCGCGCGCACACACACACACACACACACACACACACACACACACACACTCCGCTCCGCCCCCGTCGCCGCCCCCCACCCCAATCCAGAGCTATGTGCATGGTGTCCCTGTAGACATGGTCCATCTTTGACCTTCACATGAAGGGGCTGATGGCTGGGGTGATTGCAATGGCACAGCCTTGATGAATGGGCCAGACCTACACTGCTTACAACAACACTTAGCAGGGGGATGGGAATCGGAGCTACGGATCAGAGGATGGGGTATCCAGTGTACAGGCAGATAAAGCATGCAGAGAATCTGTGAGGAAGGATAAGCAGTTGAAAGGGCAAAGTTGCAGTCAATGCGATGGGTTGAAGTGTGTCTATTTTAATGCAAGAAGTTTCAGGAGTAAGGGTGATGAACTAAGAGCATGGATCAGTATTTGGAACTACGATGTTGTGGCCATTACGGAGACTTGGATAGCACAGGGACAGGAATAGTTGGATGTTCCGGGGTATAGATGTTTCAAGAGAAATAGGGAGGGAGGTAAAAGAGGTGGGGGAGTGGCATTGTTAATCAGGGATGGTATCACAGCTGCAGAAAGGGATGTCGTGGAGGAGGGTTTGTCTACTGAGTCAGTATGGGTGGAAGTCAGAAACAGAAAAGGAGCAGTCACTTTATTGGGAGTTTTCTATAGACCCCCCAATAGCAACAGAGACACTGAGGAACAGATTGGGAGACAGATTATGGAAAGATGTGGAAGTAATAGGGTTGTTATCATGGGTGGCTTCAACTTCCCTAATATAGACTGGAACCTCCTAAGTGCAAAAAGTTTGGATGGAGCAGATATGTCCAGGAAGGATTTCTGACTCAATATGTAAATAGGCCGACTAGAGGGGAGGCCATATTGGATTTGGTGCTTAGCAACAAACCAGGCCAGGTGTCAGATCTCTCAGTGGGACAGCATTTTGGTGACAGTGATCACAACTCTCCGACCTTTACTATGGTCATGAAGAGGAACAGGAGCAGATGGTATGGGCAAGTATTTAATTGGGGAAGGAGGAATTACAATGATATTAGGCAAGAACCACGGAGCATAAATTGGGAACAGATGTTCTCAGGGAAATAACGACAGAAATGTGGAGGCTGTTTAGGGAGCACTTGCTACGAGTGCTGGATAGGTTTGTCCCACTGAAGCAAGGAAGGGATGGTAAGGTGAAGGAACCTTGGATGACAAGACATGTGGAACATCTAGTCAAGAGGAAGAAAGAAACTTACTTAAGGTTGAGGAAGCAAGGATCAGACAGGGCTCCAGAGGCCTACGAAGGAGGCAGGAAGGAACTGAAGAATGGACTTAGGAGAGTTAGATGGGGGTATGAAAAAGCCTTGGCAGATAGGATTAAGGAAAGCCCCAAGGCATTCTATGGTTACGTGAGGAACAAGAGGATGGCCAGAGTGAGGGTAGGGCCAATCAGGGATAGTGGAAGGAGCTTGTGCGCAAAGTCAGAGGAGGTCCTTAATGAATAATTTGCTTCGGTATTCACCAGTGAGATGGACCTTGACGTTTATGAGGACAGCATGAAAGAGGCAGATATGCTCGAACAGGTTGATGTTAGGAAGGAGGATGTGCTAGAGATTTTGAAAAACATGAGGATAGATAAGTCCCCTGGGCCAGACAGGATATACCCAAGGTTACTACAGGAAGTGAGGGAAGAGATTACTGCCCCTTTGCGATGTTCTTTGCGTCCTTACTGTCCACTGGAGTAGTACCAGATGGGTGGCAAATGTCATTCCCTTGTTCAAGAAAGAGAATAGGAATAATCCTGGGAATTACAGACCAGTCAGTCTGTCTTCTGTGGTGGGCAAATTATTGGAGAGGATTCTGAGAGATAGTATTTATGGTTATTTGGAAAAGCACAGTTTGATTAGATATAGTCAGCATGGCTTTGTGAGGGGCACGTCATGCCTCACAAGCCTTACTGAATACTTTGAGGATGTGACAAAACACATTCATGAAGGCAGAGCAGTGGATGTGGTGTATATAGATTTTAGCAAGGCATTTGATAAGGTTCCACATGGTAGGCTCATTCAGAAAGTAAGGAGGCATGGGATTCAGGGAAATTTGGCTGTCTGGATATGTAACTGGCTGTCCAACAGAAGACAGAGGATGGTAGTGGATGGAAAGTATTCAGCCTGGAGTTCGGTGACCAGTGGTGTTCTGCAGGGATCTGTTCTGGGACCTCTGCTGTTTGTGATCTTTATAAATGACTTGGATGAGGAAGTGGAAGAGTGGGTTAGTAAGTTTGCAGATGACACGAAGGTTGGTGGAGTTGTGGCTAGTGTGGAGGGCTGTTGTAGGTTGCAACAGGACATTGACAGGATGCAGAGCTGGGCAAAGAAGTGGCAGATGGAATTCCTTCCAGAAAAGTGTGAAGTGATTCATTTCGGAAGGTCGAATTTGAATGCAGAATACAGGGTTAATGGCAGGATTCTTGGCAGTGTGGAGGAACAGAGGGATCTTGAGGTCCATGTCCATTGATCCCTCAAAGTTGCTACCCAAGTTGATATGGTTGTTAAGAAGGCGTATGGTGTGTTGGCTTTCGTTGGCATGGGAATTGAGTTTAAGAGCCACAAGGTTATGCTGCAGCTCTATAAAACTCTGGTTAGACCACACTTGGCATATTGTGTTCAGTTCTGATCGCCTCATTATAGAAAGGATGTGGAAGCTGTAGAGAGGGTGCAGAGGAGATTTACCAGGATACTGCCTGGACTGGAAGGCAGGTCTTATGAGGAAAGTTTGAGGGAGCTAGGGCATTTTTCATTGGAGCGAAGAAGTATGAGAGGTGACTTGATAGAGATGTACAAGATGATGAGAGGCATAGATAGAGTTGATAGCCAGAGACTTTTTCCCAGGGTGGAAATGACTATTACCTGGGGGCATAATTTTAAGGTGATTGGAGGAAGGTATAGGGGAGATGTCAGAGGTAGGTTCTTTACACAGAGAGTGGTGGGCGTGTGAAATGTGCTGCTGGCAGTGGTAGTGGAGTCAGATACTTCAGAGACTTTTAAGCGACTCTTGTATAATGTAGGGTATGCAGGGTAGTTTGATCTTCATAGGATAATAGGTTTGCACAACATCGTGGGCCGAAGGGCCTGTACTGTACTGTGCTGTTCTATGTTCTAACACTGAGAGTACCTCACACCTGAAATGGAAAAGCAGCAGTACTTCTATCTTCCCAGTTTCTGCCTCACCTTGGCAACATGCTTCTTCTAAGTTTTAGTGCACACCCTGGCCATATTCCAGCACCTTTGGATAATCTGACCTGACGATGAAGAGATCCCTTCTCTTCACCACCCAGATATATAACTGATCCTTGAACAGTCCAGAAGCTTAAAATGTCATGGCAATGGTGACCTTGGTGGCTGCAGGTTAAGGAGCTTTCACGGGATCCTTTCGGTCCCAGGTCATTGAGGACCAGAATGCAAACATCGTAGACTAAATGCCCAATGAGGTGCAATATCTTGCATTCTGTCATATGCAGATCATTGACTCTTAGCCAGCTAACTAAATGTCAAGGGCAGCATCTTCCTCCCTTCGCAGCCCCTCGTTATTTTCGCTTGACTGCCCCATAACCTGTAGGAGGTGTCTACTGTAGTTCCTCCTCAAGCTACACATTCCAAGTGTCAGGGCAGCCTGCTCCTAATTTCAACTCCCTCATCAGACTCATTTGTTCACTAGAGTATCCCCTGTCAGCCTCTGTTGTCCAAGTGCAATCTCACCTCCCCTCAGAAGTCCTCTAACTCACTGCTCAAAAATACACACTTGCCAGTACAGCAGTGGCAACTCTATGCCATTGGTTGAGCTGTTCGACATTTCTCAAATCTGTTGGCCAGTGGATACATTTGCTCTCATGGCTCCCCGCTCTCCTTGCGACAATGCGCCCGGACGTGCCCCAGAGAAGACCTATTGTCCATTCCTTACTTTTAAAAGTTTAAATTTGCTTCGCTGAGGCCTGTTAATGAGCTTCTCACAACTTCAACACTTGGTTAAGGGAGCTGTGCAGGCTGCCCACTTGCTCTCGTCCGTCCTCTCTTTTCAATTCGCTTTGCGTTTTTGACAACGTCAGGATTGTGTGACGCTCAACAGGGAGTTTCAGTTTAAAAAAAAACTGCGGATGCTGGAAATCAGAAACAGAGAAACTCAATAAGTCTGGCAGCATCAGTAGAGAGAAAGCAAAATTAATGTTACGCGTCCAGTGACCCTTCCTCAGTGGGCGCCCGCACCCTGACATTCGGTCTTGCCATGAATGAATTTATAAATCACACAGTACTTTTAGTGGAAAATTCTTTGCGCGCGAGTAAATGCGTATGTATTTGGTTAACACCTACCAATAATTATTGCAAAATGTTGCGCGCCTCTTTTCACAAAGTTTGCAATTTTCTAGCAGTTAGGACTACTTTAATAAACATAAGAATGTTAGCAAGAAGAGCGCCACCCGCCTCACGATTCAGAGATGTTCCTCATCCTTTATCGTGTTGTGCCAAATTGCTGTTGCTTGACTCTCCTAGTCTGGAGTGAACATTCCAATCAGTCAAACTAACGGGGATTTCTGGCCCTCCAGCATCACACCATCACCCCACCACAACCACCACCATAACACACGCGCACACACAACTCATGGTGAAATCTGGCAACCATTAAAAACAAACATTGAAACTGCTCTCCGTTTTTGTCCTCCAATTTTACCAACCTACAAAAATAGCCATAATGCACATACTTGCATTCTCCCTGCGAACACATGTAAAAGATATCGTACGTCTTCTTTTAAATTTGTAAATTAACTATGCGATGTTGTCGTTTTTGGATTAGCCACAAATGGTTAACAGATCGGACAAGTGTTACAAAGTTAACATGGATATTCCCACAGCTCTCGGGAAAATCAGCATCCATTGGGTTTAAAATCAGGGTTAGATCGGATGTCTGAGAGCTTCAGTGCTTGCAATACTTGTTTACTTGGTTTTGTAATTACAAACCTGCGTTTGTGCTTTTTTCTGTGCTGACGGAACGGCCAAGTGGGAGAGGAAGTGAGTGAGTCAGGGGTGGGTTTCTCTCACTGGAGTTTTTTTTAAGCTGTCCACCAGTTGTTCTTTTGCAGCGAGCACTTCTGCGATGCTTTCGTTATGACGGTGATATTCAAGTATTCCCTTCACTTTGAAGTGACAGGGTTTCAACCTGACCCCTTGCATTCGAAACGTCACCTCACTCGCCCAGCGCTGAGACAAGCGGTTTCTACACAGAGGATTCAGCACCTTGTTAACATTTGTCAATAAGTCGCCCAAAATCTTATTTTGTAAGAAGTGTTAACATAGCTTTGTTTTGTGAACACTTCTGTAACAGGAAGCACAACGTTTCACGTAGGACGCCGGGAGGTGTGGTGAAATTTGACGCACACCCTTCTCCCCAAACCACCGCCCCCCCTCCCCATTTCAACGTTTTCTTTTCGAAATCAAATTTTGCAATAAAACGTTCCGAAAAGTGCACCGAAAAATCAAACATTTAAAGTGGAGAATTGACGATCCGAGTGGGCGGCGGGAAAAATATTTGAAATGTTCAAACAAGACAATAAAAGAGAAAATAAACTCGGCGCAAATTGTAACGGTTTTTCGGATTTCTGAAGTTACTTTTCAAAAAAAACCAACGAGTTTTTTATTTGAAGTTTAATAGATTGAGAAATTTGAGGCAAATTGCAGAAGTACACCCGAAGTTTGGGATGTTGCTTTTTTTTAACCGAAATATGGGCCTCTGTTGATTGCCATTGCAGATATGTAACCATGTTCTCCGTTTTCATATTGCAACAGTTTTCATGTTTCCACTTTTCGGTTCACTTTCACTGACACAGTACGATGATGAATTTACCTTTCCATTTCTCACAAAAGTACCAACAACCCTTTTCTCCCACGTATTTAATTACAAACGAAAAGTTTCGGGTTTTCCCCAAAACGCTTCAATTATGATATTACAGTTTTTGTTTCCTCGTAAAGTTACATTCAACAAACTTATATTTTTGTAGGAAATAAATACTGTAGATTGAACAGACTGCGATAAAAAGATAGGCACGGGCCGTGATTTCCCCCAATATTGTTTGTTTGTTGCATGCACGTGATACAATACGAAAGGACAATTAAACCTTTCAATTTTTCATATAAATTATGGATGGGTTTATATATTTGCATTCGCTAAGGTAAATCAAGTTACGTTGCAGCATTTGTGGAATTATTCAAATACTAGCTTGAACACCACTTAATCATCTTCTTTAAACATTGACAGTTGAAATGAAGGAACTTTGTCACTTGTTAGTGACGTAACTCCAGCTTTTAGTAAAAACCATTGTTTAAGATCTTTCGTTAAAATATTTATTTGTTACGCCAGAAAGATGTAATTATTTTGTTAACAAAGGGTTTTTTCGATTTAAAAATAATCTGAGACAAGCCACATTTGAATATCAAAATGTTGGTTTGTTTAAAACATAATGCCGTATGGTTCGAATTTCTAATGTGGAAAATATTTCCATCTCTGTTTTCAAGATGTAGCTTTTTCGGTAAAAATATTGGTCACGAATAAGCTTGGACCTTGGACAAAAGAAAACTACAGAAAGTTGCAGTTATAACAAAATTAGTATGTGAGGAAAAACGCACACGATGTGTCAATTATGTTAACAAATTACTGAAGAGCCATCAAGATAAACATATTTTTATTCCATACACAATTCCTTTGTATGACACGCTCTATTATTCAGATCTATTATTAAACACCAATTATTACACGATGCGATTTGTAGAAAGGGCTAAATGCGGAATTGTACCTTTTATGTTAACTATCTCGATAATAAAATAAATTAATTCACGAAACGCAACGCCATTCACAGCATTAAAATAAATACATTTTTAACAATTACAAGGAAGTATTTATTGGAACAAAAAAACAGTTAAACAGTTTATAAATTATATAGTCTATTTTGATACATTTCAACACCACGAAAGCAATGCAATATTTACATCGAGTAAATGAAAAGCTTATAATTTAATTTTCATTAAAACAATCAAAACCTGTTAAATAATGTTTATCAGCTACATTTGTCTGTTTTCACTTAAGAAGACAGGCAGGAAGCAATGTTTCCATACCCGTCCACTGAAAATAAAAGATAAACAAATTCAAATAAACAAAATAATAAGTATCGCATTATATGGAAACAGCGTCGTTATATGAATATTAACACATCTCTGTTCCCTACAACGGGCAAATTTTCAACAGCTGCATAAAGACACAGGACATGGTCTCAAGCGACTAATGGAATCATTGGAAATTACCCTTCTTGTTAGCTTCATTGCTTAATATAATAAAAAGTCAAATATGGCACATTGCGTCGTTAAACAATGTCCTTAATAGACGGTATCTTGTGTATCAATGGAACACTAAACAATAACACTTGCTAGATTTAATTTTAACACTAATTTGCAACATACAAAGCGAATTTAGCACGATGTCATGAAAAATATAAACGTTTTTAAAAAGCATTCAATGCCAGTCCCCACTGCGCCACTCTTTCCAACACATACATACACACATTAAACACATACTAGAAAATAAAAGACTATTTATATGGAAATACAAACAGTGGAAACTAATAAACAAATCTACATATGTTAGCTGACAAATACAATAAATACAGAAGACTGCACTCGCTTATTACGTTACTATAAATTTTGTTCCATCCATTGCACTGTCTCCGTCCTTTTGTACATCTGAGCCAGCTCGTAGGGAGTTTGTCCCTTTTTATTTTTATGTGTTAAGTTTGATTTTTTAGCCAAAAATATAATCACATCGGTGTGACCTTCCTGTGCAGCAAGATGAATGGGCAAATTGCCCTCAGAATTTTCAATATTTACGTTTGCCCCAAAGTCCACCAAAGTTATCAAAGTATCCAAAAATCCTTCCCTAGCTGCATCATGAGCTGGTGTGAATCCACCGCGATCCTGCTGATTTGGTTTAGCTCCAGCTTTCAATAGTGACTTGGCTATTATAGTATGACCCATTTGCATCACCTGGAAACATAGAAACGTGGACGGAAAGTGTGTGAAAGAAATAAAAGGTGAAATTCAAGATTGCACTAACATACACACCTAAAAAACAAATTTTAACATTGTAAGGTTAAAGGTTGCACGGCCAGACTGACAGTTTATACATTTTAAGTGCCATTTTAAAATCTGAAAAAAGGCATGTTCAACTCGGTTAACTATGCAAAGTGCAAACATGTAATCACATTTTCTCATGGCATTTCTTTAGTAGCGAATACAGAATGAACCCAGCTGCTGCATCTTCAACATTTCCAACTAACATTTAATTGAACGAATTCGTGATGGCGTTTCTCCATGTCGGTCCTTCAGCAATGAATACCGATTGAACTACGTTGTTTTTACATTTTATTTGAACACTTTTCAAAACAAAGTATTTATTTCAACCACCAGATATCGATACGAAATAAAACGAGGTTTTATTGTTTTGGTATTTTCTATCTATCTATAGAAGCAATAAACGTTTTATTCTTTTGAATCACAATGTCTCGTTACGGCATTGTATTTTTCACTGTACAGTTAAAACGCGATTCGAGGTAAACCACATGGAGTTTCGAGAGGCAAGACAGTGATGCATAAACACATCATGAACCTCTATTTTCATAACATTTAAATATAAGAAAGGGCAAAAATTATCACATTTTCTGAAACAATAATATTTACATTATGCAAAAGGAAAACCATTATTTTGGATCATAAATTGGAGCTGGTACCATATTTTGTAAGAAGTGTTAGGTAGTTTGAATGGAGGATTTTAAAAGTCGTTAAACAGCAGTTAAAATATGAACATTACAGAGTGTATTATTTATTTACTGTGATTTTGAATGTGGGCTTATATTGGCTTTTCGAAAATCAAGCATCAAGCATCAAATTAATGGTAGTCGCTTGAAAAAATAAAGTAGTAATTTTGCTGTCATTCCTATTCAATATTAAAATGCCATTTGAAATGAAGTACTGAACGAACAGTATATCTTTCAAAATAAAAACATAGTCACAATCATGTACTTCTAGAGCTTCATTTTTTTCGGTCACCGAATCACAATGTATTCATCTTATTATGATTGAATTAATGAAGCATTAAGCATTAAGCACCGGTTTGAAACTCAGGGCCTCAACAGGTTTTCGTCAATATGTACTTTTCATCGGACTGACCCTGTTTAAACCTCGGATGAAAATGATATCGGGTTTTTTTTGTACGTTTGTTAAGTTCTTCATGAACGTATTTAAGCAAAATAACCAATTTATTCTAAACAGTATTTTGTATCATTGTAGTAAACTATTTACTTACTCTGCTTTCAAATCATTTTTAGCATCCCGGGTTACCTAATAGTTGCCACTTAATCCTGAATGAATAAAACTAATCTAAAATTTGCTTCTATTGGAACGCTATTCATGTAATTTGTTTTATTCGTTCTTAGGGTCTGGGGAAAGGCATATAAAGCCATAATGATACATTATGTGCAATTCGTCCTACATTAAACTAGCATAGGACAATAATTATTTGCCACATCTAAAAAAAATTAATGGTAAGTTTTGTAAAAATATAATGCACCCATTGGCACTAAAATACATTTGTTCATAGTAAAATTAATTGCTAATCATCAGCTTTATTGGTTACGTAACAAGGTAACATGTACAAAAAAGCTTTCAATCAGTGTCGTTCCTACAGTGTTGTATTTTTGTCACTGCTTCAGTTGTTTGAAAACCGGTGAATGTAACAATCTGAAACACTGCATACTTCTGAATGATGTATACTACAAAATTAAAACGTTCTGTCGAAGACAGTCCACGTTGCAATCTTTCTGCACTTCTGTAAGCATCATACAACTGAAAACGTTATTTTATTTCTGCGAATGTTACCTGAAGTAGGGAAACCACATTGTCCCAAAAGATGCTTGCAGAGAATTGTAGAGTTAAGTAACATTGTTATCAAAGCAATATGCATTTGTTTTAACGAAGGTGTTTTGAAATTCAATGGCTTATGGCTTTTTAAGCAATGCGTCAGTTACTATACCTACTGATGCCTGATCTATACTGACACATACTGACAAAAAGGAGGTGGACTTCCTTTAGAAAAAAAATACATGTAGGACAGATTTTACTTTAGCTATGGAAATGCAATATATAGAATAGAAAAAACACTGACCTGAAGTGCAGTTCTGCCAAACTTATTGATTGCACCCACTTTCACCCCGTTTTCTAGCAAAATGTTGACTTCTTTCGAGTTTCCTTTGGCTGCAGCGCTTGTTAATTTGTCACCGTCTGATCCATCAGCTGTTTCCATTATTAATACTTCAAAAATGTCGAAATCCGATAAGCACAGACGGCCAACAGGTATGGTGAGATGAAGAATCTAGTCCCGCTCTGTAGTATAGTATTTACTAAACTAGAGTAATTGCTGTGTGATCCTAGTAATGACGTTGCTTGGTCCGCCCCTTTCTCTCATCAATATAATACACGTGATACAAGTCCAATGATAGCTTGGCTATCTCAAAGTTAACAGTTTCAAGTGATTTTGCCATGGTACCCCAAAGCATAAAAATTAAATTACGATTAACATCTCATCAGCCACTGCGTGGATATTTAATATTTCACCTTCACGACTGTAAAAAAAACTCAAGACAGTTTCGGAAAATGTAACAGTTGAATCAGTTACTGTATACCGATAGAGATGCAATATTCGAATGTTTTGCACTTTTCCCGCCCATTTTGCAACTGTTACTTCACTGTAAATGAAAGGCTGCTCTCAGCAGTAAACTCCGGCTGGTTCGTAGGTTTCTTTTTTTTGGTTCCACTTACTCTTTCAGTCAAATTGAATTGCAGAAATATTCCAAAAAAGCCGCTCGATTCGAAGAAAGTGAGTCCGTCAGCTTTGACATCTCCTGTCCGGGACTTGGAAGGCAGCTGCCGATCATTGCGATCCTGTGCTCCTATAAAACTGGAAAGTAACTTGCTGTTACAGTTAACGCGCAAATGTTCACATTTAAAGTCGTCCTTTTGACCCAGCTACACGGTTCCTGCAGTTTATTCTGGGAGCAGAGAACTTTCCCGTTTTCGTAATGAAAATACTGGCGGTTCCGCAATTGCTGATCGCTGAGAGCAGTTTTGAAAAAAAATTATTGACATCATCAAATTTTAAAAATGAGCGCTTCTTGTCTTCTGGCAGTGCCGCCCACACTGTGCGTCGTAACGGAAATGGAAGGCACGGTCTGGAGCTGGAAGTGCAGCACTGTGCGCGGATTCGAGCTCAGAGCTTACTGCACTCGCTGAGCCCGGGCTCTGCTCTCACATTCACCTCTGCAAAGCCATTTCCTTCAGATTTCGAGCTGACGGGTTTCCACTAACGGACAGTGGGCATATTTTTAAATTGTACAACCCAAGTTAAACGAGCCAATGCCCACCTCCACCCTACTTCTGAACCCGTTGCATTGCATTTTGTGTGCGAAGGTCAGAGCAGAGGTTTCTAGTTGGGGCCTTTGGTGTGTCAGAACTGGAGGGTTTCCAGGCGCTGTGCCCTCATGGCGGGGAGATACTCAGCTTCGTCAACTTTAAGAAGCTGCTCGGCTTTCGGCCACCTGTCTAACGCACACCGTTCTACAACCCCAGCTCATGTGAATTCAACCGCATCAATCGAAAATGACCAAGTTGGCTAAACCGCCCGATGTATGTCAGTCCCCTCAGCATCGCTCACTGCAGGCAGCTGTCACTGCAGGAGCAAAATCAACCATGCCTGACATAGCTCAACTCAGAACGTATTCAAGATGGTATCCTGCAAATCACTGCGTGTGTACAGCAGTCGCAGGACACATACCCCTTCTAAATTAGGCTCAAAACTCCGCTGTGAAGCGACACGAATGTAAACTTGGAAAACATATTTCAAAAGTATGAATGTGATATTTGAACCAGACGTGAAACATGTTACCCGTGCACGGGGTCAGACCAGAACCAGGTCAACAAGAGTGCAAGTGCAGCAACTTTCTGTCGAAATCCTGACCAATTAAACATAAGACGAGCACGAATGCTTCTCACATGTCAACGATCCTTCAATCATAGACCTCGAAAACTTCTTGAAAACCCAGACAATACCTTTCAAACTGTGATTTTTAAAACATTTTTTTCTGAACTTTAATACCATTTTTTCTCAAATGCCCTGAGGATGCTAACCTTTCCTAGGGCATGTTTTATGGAGACACCAATGATGTTCCAGTCCTGTAAAAATAACTTTTTAATGTGGACGTTTTTAAAAATGTTGGACATGGACTGCTTTGGAATCTGACGGGTTGCGAATGATTGTGAACATTCAATCTACGAAATCTCCACTTCTGACCTTATGCTGACGGAAGATCATTGATGGAGCAACGCAAAATCATTGGAGCTGGGGCGCTATCCTGAAGAACTGGGTTCAAGCATCAACACCATTGCCCTCCCGCACACACATACACACACACACAACCGCAGGTGTGTAATAACATATCTGAACAGGTCAACTGGAAATATCTATCCGGATGAACTAGGGCTTGTGTGGTGTAGTGGTAGTGTCCCTACCTCTGGTCTATGTAGCCTGGGTTCAAATCCCACCTGGTCATGAAATGTGTTATAACATTTCTGAACAGGCTGATTAAAATATCCACCCTGAGGAAACTCAGGGCTGTTATGAGACAGTGTTGGTGTCCCTGAATCTGAGCCAGGAGGCCTAGTTCAATTCCCATCTGCTCTCAGGGTGTGTGAGAACAGGTTGAATTGAAAAATATCTGTCCTGAGGAACTCCTGTGGTAATGTCTTTGTTCAAGTTATGATTCCAATGACTTGAAGCTTTCCTCCAATTTCCATTGACTTCAATTTTGTTAATACTTTCTGATTATATTCAGTTAAATGTTGCCTTGATGTCAAGGGCAATCACTCTCACCTAGAAAGAGGTCTAAAGCTGTGTGCCTCTGGCAGGTTGTTTCTGAGTAAATGTGGCTTAATAGTACTATCAGTGACCATTCCATCACTTTTATGATGATTAAGAATAGACTGCAGTTGGGACTGCAATTAACCAGTTTGGATTTGTCCTTTATGTAGACAGGAAATATCTGGGGCAGTTTTCCACATTGTCGGGTAGCTACCAATGTTTTAACCTATACTGGAAAAGTTAGTTAGTATCTTAAATATTACAGCTGGAACAGTGTCAAGATGTTGACAGAGGCCACAGCATTTGGCCTGGAATGGCAGATTATTCAACTCGAAAAAATATCACTATCAAATTCAATCATGGCTCGTTTGATATCTGCACATATGTACTTTAGATCAATGCTTATTGGACGGATGTCAGGAATAGAAACACTGATTATTTTCTTTCTCTCTGTGGACTAATTGTAGCATCCCACACTGCTATCTTGGTTGCGAGTCACCAATCAGTACAGTCTGGGGATTAAATCTGGACCCTATGTTTATGTATTATATGTAGTAGTTAATTCCATATTGGACAACTGAACAGGAAAGCTCACCATATTGCTTTCAATGAGTTTAAATTTTTGAACACAGCTTATTGCTTCTTTAGTTCACTCATGCAGCTCACCCCCAAGAGTTTATTGAGCTTTTACTCAGGATTCAAATAGGTAAAAATGTCCTGTTTTCCACAACTGCTGCTTTTTTATTTATTTCTATAATATCACTATTTGTTATTGCAATAATGTAAGGAGTTCCTATTAGCATCTGTGTTTCTGCTGAGAAATCAAATAGACCAACAAAAATGTATGACTATTAGAGTTACACATCTGATATGAGGGAGCTGGTACATGCTGCTACCAATTTTATCATTGGTAGTCCAAATAGTAGCCTAATCCTGATGCTTTGTAACTCACAATTTACAATACTGAGTCCAAACTGCAAATTCGCATGTAAAAAGGTAATATGAAAACATAGAATTATCAAGCAATGTTATGTGCTGCCTTACTGTACCCCATGACTTTGACTAGGCCCAGTGCTGTACAGAAACATTCAATTACTCTCATGAGATTGTTGTAAAAACAGACTGAATCTTACAGAACATTTTCAAACCTTGGTGTGCACTTATAGAATATCATTCCCTTTTTCACAAATTCGTGTTAATAAGTTTGAAGCAGAGATCTGAAATAAAATAATTGTAAGTTAAGTTGATTTGATATAAATGAAATGGAAGATTAATCATTGATGTAATATTAGAAAAATTATAAAATTTACTCGCAGATTTCCCAAGAAGTAACATTTGCAGCTGGATTTTCAAAAATAATGATAAACTACACTTGGTTGCTTTTTAAAGATCGAACAATTCCCATGATTTGGAAAGAGTTTTGGATGTTATTTATAACTCATTTTTCTTTACAATAAAAACAAAAGAAAGTCAGAAAATGCCATTCTGAGGAAGAGACCACATCGAATCTAAAAGTTAACCCTGTTTCTCTCATCATATATGCTAACAGACATGCTGAGTTTTAATAGCATTTTTATCCATCTTTACATTTGGGGATGATATGAATACTTTCCAGAAATGTTTGTGAGCAGCTTAGAAAATTGTTTATAGTTCTTTGTCTGGAAAAGAAAGCCACAAACCTGTTTTTATCATAGTGATGATAGCTGTCTGCTAAACTGGAAATGTGAATTTTTAATAAAAAGTAAATAAAACTGTCAATGTAACAATAAGTAGGACCAAGGCAACAACTAGGAGCAAGATAAGGCAGCAGACTTCCCAGAATTACATCAAATATTTCTCATTTCTTAAAAAAAGTTACAGAAAATATAGTTTGACAATTTATTACTGAAGATTTCACATGATTTGACACAAAACTTTTCAATAAAAGTATTTCTCTGCACAATTTGTTTTCTATGAATCGGTCGCATTAAGCACCAAATCACAGACATTTTATTGGCACAGGAGGAGGTTATTTGGCTCATCATGTCTGCACCGGCTCTCCAAATGAGCAATTTGTGCAAAAAGGATGATCTATTTATTTGGGATAGTAGGAACTGCAGATGCTGGATAATCCGAGACAACAAGGTGCAGAGCTGGATGAACACAGCAGGCCATGCAGCATCATAGGAGCAGAAAGGCTGATGTTTCAGGCCTAGACCCTTTTGTATGTGCAAATTTATTTTACAATCTCCTTTTAACTGTTGAAAAATGAGTAAGAATTTGTAGAGAAGATTAGTCATAAAATTTGTAAAAGTATATAGAAGTACATTTCAAATATAACAGTATATGAAGTACCATACAGTTCAGTTTTATCAAATACAGCCTGTAGCATGCTGAAATGCCTCAGTAGTCAAATTAATGAATTATATTTACAAGATATGTTTATATTTCATGGATGAACTTTGACATTAACCACTACATCTCTTCCTAAGTCATATTCCAGAAGAAGGCAGGCAATGGCCTTTCCCCACTGTGGCCAACTCTATAGCATAATTCATATCACTCCCATTCCTCTTTAGAAGTTTCCAAATCTCTCATGGTTTCAGACTCGTTGTATCCATTCACTGTTCTTGTTACTGGCCTGGCCTTTACTTTGTCAATTTCAATAATGTGATTGGGAATTGCTTGGAATATATTGACCTTCCAATTGGGCAAGAGGTTTCTTCCCAGCTACTAGAAGCATGATGTAATATATATATATTATACACATATATATAAATATATATATATATATATATATATATATATATAAAAATAAGATTGGACTCATATATGCCAGGTTTCAACCCAGATTATGTGATCATAATTGGTCAATGATGTTGGAGAGGCTGGGGAATGAAATACCCAAGTTTGAACTTGAAAACTCCAATACTGAGCAATTTGGACACCAGGCCCTTTAAGCAGCTGACATACATTCCACCTAATGTTTAAAATTTTGATAATAACTATTTTTGGCCTTTAATGGAACCGATTGCTGCAGTCTTCAAAAATATTTATGGTGCTTTGCGCTGACTATGGGAATAGTGCTTTCAACTCCTTCCTTTGGTGCACATCTAAAATGTGATTAAAGAGATACAGGAACATTATCTAAAAAAATAAAGAAGTGACCCTATCCTTACACCAGGTATTCCAGTGGCATCAGGAGAGG